CGACCCTCCACCGAAAACCCGGATGTGTTTATTGTGGCTTACATCTATTCACACTCTTCCAAATAAACCCGGCTTCTTAACGAAGCCGATTGATTTGTATGGTGAGTGGTCTTTTAGGTAAGATGGTAAGAGTACGGCTCTGCTGAACTCTGAAAACCTGTTTCGGGCCCCAGCGGGGCAGGCACAAAGTATGTGCTCTGCTGTTCCATCATTTCCCAAACAGAGGCGACACACACTGTTTTTCGACAGTCCGAGTCTCTGAATATGGTGATTCAAATGACAGTGACATGTGAGAAGGCCTGTTCGACATCGTAGTTCATCCCTACTGTAGTCCAACAACTGTTAACTGTTTGGTATCAATATTTGGGACCTTAAGCTAAAGAACGTCTATCAGGTGATCATTTCTTGTTGGAAATTCACATATCCGAGTCGAAGTGAATCGTTGACCTACATTTCAAATATCCATTTTCCAACTGGAACCAAAAAAACGTGAAATACAAAAGTTGAATGCAAAATATAATAAAGGAATCACACCCTAGTCACAGAAACACATTATTCCAAATTCATTTATATAGAGAACAATCACTCGCATCAACCATCTATACAAAAAAGAAGGCTTTCATTTGTTTTTCCACTCTCCAAGTGAACTCAACTGCTTCCATCATCGTTATGCAAGTTTTCTCATTCCCAACCGGCATTGTAATTCAAACAGCATTTCCATTCCAAGAACAAAAGAATCTCTTATTGTCCACTGGAGTGAATATTCCACTTTAAATGTTATTCATCTTCTACGTCACTCACCTAGTTAAATGGTTTCAGATGAGAAATACATCTTTGCCATTGACGTGCAGGGACTCTATTCGGAGGCAGGAGTGGGATGTCTTGCAATCGATTCATGTCATTTCTGATGAATAAGTGAAATGAAAGTTGTTTTAGAAAACAAGCATCATGTCAAGAAGCATCATCAATTATTAATTTTTCAAGTAAAACCGTAAAAAAAAGTGGAATACATAAGTTGAATACAAAACATATAGTGATAATAATGTTTTTAATCCTTTGAAATGATTATTTTACAATGATATAGAAATTGTCAAGTAAGAAAAACATGTAGATGTATAATACGGAGTTGATAAATAACATAGAGATTATAGTACATTATTGTTGGGTAACTGTGACACTTTGAATTGGTTTCAAACACAGACTCCTCCTTCTTTACAAAAAATAGACAATTATAAATGTATATAGGTGGTAGTGTTAAAATTTTTGTTTCCCTAAAAATGGGTCTACAGGAATCTGTGTGTCGAAGACCATACAACATACGTATTATTCTTTTTTGAGATATTGATGCTCGACTGATGTTAATCCCTTCTCCCCACAAAAGCACATTGTAAGATAGTACTGAATAAACAATCGCATAGACAATGTTCCACAAATGCTCTCCATTTATAACCTTTTCAAGTCGTACCAATGCATGAAAATTGGGGTTGATTTTCTTGCAAACATAATTTATGTGAACTTGTCAACTCAACCCAAAATGATGAAGTCCTGAAAATTTTGTGATTTGCGACGGATAGATAATGACATTATTTATATCAACCTGTATATGCTCTTAGTGTCTTCTGTTGAAGAATTGAACTGAATCCGTTTTGTCGGCATTGACTATAAGTTTATTTGTGTGACACCATTTCGTGGGTTTACGACTTATTTTGTTCAGTTTCAACTGTAGTCCCGCAGGATTATCAGCTCCTTCTATAAGACTGCAGTATCATCGGCAAAAACTGATATTGATTTTGAACTTAGGTATTGAGGTAAATCATTGATTTAAATCAGAAAAATCAGTGATCCCAAAACTGAGCCCTGTGGAACTCCAATGTCTACGTTGACTGTAACACAGTTCGTATCATNTTATGTATTACCAGTTAAATAGTAAAATAAATACATATAATGATAAATTAACTGTGGATTATTTCATTTACGTTGCGTTACGTGGCTTCCGTGTGGGTAGCTCGCTGTTTATTCTAAAATTAACAAAGTAGCTCAACACATTGAAGAGGTTGGCGACCACTGATCTATATGAAGTCCTAAAAATTTTGTGGTTTGCGACGGATAGATAGTGACATTATTTATATCAACCTGAATAGGCTCTTAGTGTCTTCGGTTGAAGAATTCAACTAACACCGTTTTGTCGGCATTGACTATAAGTTTATTTGTGTGACACCATTTTGTGGGTTTACGACTTATTTTGTTCAGTTTCAACTGTAGTCCCGCAGGATTATCAGCTCCTTCTATAAGACTGCAGTATCATCGGCAAAAACTGATATTGATTTTGAACTTAGGTATTGAGGTAAATCATTGATTTAAATCAGAAAAATCAGTGATCCCAAAACTGAGCCCTGTGGAACTCCAATGTCTACGTTGACTGTAACACAGTTCGTATCATCCCATGTCACATATAATTTCCTGAACTTTATATATGATATTACCCATGCAAGAAATGTCCCTCTAATACCTATTGCATATAATTTGTTTGTGATGATATCAAAAGCTATGGAAATCATACCTTAGTCGATACTAATAATTATTTCTTCGATCGAAGTGACGTATTGACCTGTCAAATCCGATATGGAGTTCTTTTGGAGAGAATGAAATTGTTATTTGATTTGATCTATCAATTATTCGAATAATAGGTGTACCAGACTCCTAACAAATATTAACGATACTTTTTGGAAATGGAGAGGTTATCACTCACAATCCATGACAGTAATACCCCTCACCTGTATGGATCCAGAAGAAAGATGTTCCTTTAAGACCGATGATCAGTTCCAGAGTTTCCACCACCCATAAACTATATAGATGTATGAATGAAATTAAATGAAAAATGAAAAAAAATAAACAGTTCCATTGAAAATAATACGGAAGGTTCTAGGTAGCAGTCATCACATCACTCTCCTTAGCAATCTACGGTATTGATACACAAATAATAAAGTCGTTGGATGTACTATTCACATATTTATTCAGGTTACATTTTTTCGGAAATTTTGGGCACGAAGCGTGTGGCAGCGGAGTTCGTTCCAAAATTGCTAAATTTTGTGCAACAGCGATGCCCTAAAGCGTCTTGGGTATATGGTTATGGTATCAAAACCAAAGTCCAATCGTTCCATCGGAAGTTACCACCTTCTCTGAAGAAATATATTTCATTGTTTATTCTTTATTATTATTTTTATATATTTTACCGAAGTATGCGCTGGTCAGGCCCTATCCCCCAAAGCCCAGATACTTTCGGGAGGGCGCGCCAGCATTATCAACCAACAACCATTCCCCACATCGTGGGGTAAGTGATTATTGATGTGCCCTGAGCAAGCGCAGTGAACCAAGAATGACAGCCTTCTGCATCTGTCCGGCTAAGATTTCTTCCTCAGTGCAACAAGCCGGTATGATTTCAAGATTCGAGAGTGGAGAGGACATAATTCCACTAAGGACTCCAATCAGAACCACCATCTTGACAGAGTGGTCTGGATAGAGTCTGCGGAGTTCGAAGAGAAAATCTCAATATTTTATTCGTGTTTCCTTCTCTTTTTGACGATATTCGTCTCGCCAGGAGCTGAAAACTCCACGACAACTATCGTCTTGCTCTGTTGATCGAGAACGACTGCATTAGGCTCATTAGCTTGTAACGTAGGGCAACACCGGTGTCTCGTAAATACCGTAAAAGTGCCGTACATGGTAACATAGCACTCTGAGGGTCGCGTTATGTCGATGAATATAGGCCGAGATCGCATATGCTGGACATGCTGATAGTAAGTGCATCAGGGTCTCGGGCGCCTCGTGGCTGGCCTTGCACCTCGTGTCAGGAACCTCTACACCCATCACGCTACTGCGGTAGACTGAGGTGTTGAAGACACTATTCTGGCAAGCCATGATGAACCTCTCAGTTTCCGACTTCAGACCACTCGAACTGAGGAAAGGAAAAGTCAGGCGCTTTGATAAGCCAATGTCTCCTTGAAGAAGACCCCATGCATTGGCTTATCCTTGTGTTTCCGCAGATCTCTGCTGCTTTTATCTGATGGAGATCTCATGGAGAAGGGGATCCGAATTCCTGACGACGATTATTATTATTATTGTCAATCTTTCATTCATAAGTAGTGAATATGATATGAATTGTTATCAATTTTATTGAAACCACGCGTTTTAATTACTGATCTGAAAAGTTTTCTCAACATTTGATAGCTACTACTGAACAATTTCTTTCTCTGTTTTATCGCCGCGTCGTCCAAAGCTTACAAGAACAAAGTGTGTGTTTCAAAGTCTACCTGTAAAAATTTCAAAGCTCTGTATTTCAAAGATGACTCTAGCAATACATCAAGTGTGCTACATTTTTAGAGAGATGATCTTGAGTGCTATTGAAATATGCAGGTCTCTGGCAATAATCTCATAGAAACAGAAAATTTCCACAGGAAAAAAGTTACAACTTTTCGAAAACGCAGAAACGATTATAGATATCGATATGCGGTTTTCACCATTAAGTTTGTCAAAAAATTTGACCTGCATACACAGCCATTAGTTTTCATCTATCTAGTTTGAAAACAGGAGATTTCCCTTAAACGTGTCGAATTTGGCTCACTCTGTAAAAAGACACTTTTGCTATTTTCATTTATCTGAATATATGAATCAAGTATTTTCTGTTTTTTTGCCACGATGCTTTATTTTCGTTATTTCCCAGCATGAATGATTGTGATTGAATCATTTTAGTTTGAAACATAGGTGCATTATTTTCTGAATTGAAAAATTGAAAAATTTCAATAACAAATTCGTTCTTCAAGAGTATTCAAACCCAAAATGTAATTAACTCATATCGCGACTCCCTTTAGAATTTCATTTTTTCAATTTTTGTTACATTCTCCGTGAGTTTCTTCATCCAACTTTTTTCGTAAGTTGAGCTCCCAATCACTCTTCTGCAGTTGTAGAAGGAAATGATGGGGTTTTCCATCAATAACTCAGTCGCACATCATAAATAACTTTTATTCAAATTTCTCCTCACAATCGATTTACAAATAATGGAATATCTCATTTAAATAATACAAAAGTTTCGTTTATATCTAACTATTTGCAGCAAATATATCATCACAAGTATCTTTATTTTTATAGTAATTGGTTATTCAATTAAAACAATCACTTGTTCAGAACATCGACGTGAACATGAGAAGAAGAATCATGGAAACGATTTTGCTGGTGGAATTGGCTGAGCTGAAGTTGTTTGCTGTCACTGCAACAAAAAAAAATAGTTCAGGGAGAGGTGGTTGTCATAAAGAGAAAATTTCTACAAATGATTCGCAAAAAATACGACTCTAATCGTATATCGGTATATCTCTGTAATACTATAGCAGAATTTCTGAATCGTCCAGAAAGGACGCAGAAGGAACATAAATACTTGAAAGTCTGTTGAATTCATATCAAATATTTTGGGAAGTTACAAATATGAAAAAACTAAAAAAAACTTTCCAAATTACTTCGATAGGTTTTTTTCATACTGATGGAAACAACATTAATATAAGTTTAATACAGAACTGGGGTTCTAAATTATCATCTAAATGGACCATCAGTTCCCTCACACCCCTATACGACCGAGAGGAATGAAATTTGAACTGGATAACCCATTCTCCATTGAGGTTATCCGGATATTGGATATACATCCAATAACTGATGGACCATTCCATTAGTTATTGGACCCCACTGGATGTATATCCGGATAATCTCATTGGTTATTGGGTTAGCCAGTTCAAATTTCATTCCTCTCAGTCGTATGGGGGTGTGAGGGAACTGATGGTCCATTGGGATGATAATTTAGAACCTCAGTTCTATATACCCAAAATGGAAAAGGTCTATTTATTATAAGTTTTGTTATATCTTTGTATCTGTAGAGTAGGGAGAGTGAGTGAGTGAATTTCCGAATCGTGCAGCTCACCAGCTGCATCTCAGATCATTGTGGCGGGAGATTTGCCCTAATTGAGGCAAACTGTGACGTCATCACACCAACCAGGTTGCCTCTCAGCTCGCCAGACAGGGCAGACAGACCATCCGGGCAACCAGAATGCACCAAATTGTCACGTGGTGTCCTGTCACCCAGCTAGTTAGGCGGTGAACCAATCAGAGTGTACCAAATTGTCACGCAGCTCACCAGCTAATCAGAGTGCACGCCTGCATCCAGAATATCATGACGGGAGATTTGAATTTCAGGCAGACAGACGACCAGGCGTATCCCTCAACGAGACAGACCACTCAGTCACGTGATGTGATTACGTCAGCCCATCTATTCGCTCAACACTTTTTTGTTTCATGACGTCATCTCATTATCCTGATCAGGATCGCCAGGATTGAAAAATAATTTTCTCACACATACAAATGAAATAAAAATAACACCACTATCTTCAGTGGTGACGTAAATGTATATGAAGGAAACAGAATATTATCAAAATTGAAAAAATAATATAGTAATTAAAGGCCACAATTGAAGTGATTCAGATTCTAACATGTGAGTTGATGTTGACAGAAAAACAATGTGTCGTTAGGAAATTTTTGGTAAACCTCTTGAAACTACATATAGGTAGATCTTCAACAGTGGGTGACCTGTACGTTAAGGAAGTTGCGTTGATGACCATGTTCAGTGTCACTGTTTTTCGAGTTTGAAAGCCGTGGATTTTTGGATTTCTTCCTGACGTTTTGCTGGCGCGAGTGGCTAGCTTTTTCAGAGGTTTAACCATCGTGGCTCGCTTTTAGTCAGTCATCGGACAGATATGCCCTAATTTAGGTAGACTGTGACGTCATCACACCAGCCAGGTTGCCTCTCAGCTCACCAGACAGCGCAGACAGACCACACAGGCAACCAGAATGCACCAAATTGTCACGTGGTGTCCTGTCACCCAGCTAGTTAGGCGGTGGACCAATAAAAGTGTACCAAATTGTTACGCAGCTTGCCAGCTAATCAGAGTGCACGCTTCTGCATCTCAGATCATCGTGGCGGGAGATTTGCCCTAATTAAGGCAGACTGTGACGTCATCACACCAGCCAGGTTGCCTCTCAGCTCGCCAGACAGGGCAGACAGACCACCCAGGCAACCAGAATGCATCAAATCGTCACGTGGTGTCCTGTCACCCAGCTAGTTAGGCGGTGAACCAATAAGAGCATACCAAATTGTCACGCAGCTCACCAGCTGCATCTCAGATCATCGTGGCGGGAGATTTGCCCTAATTCAGGCAGACTGTGACGTCATCACACCAGTTAGGTTGCCTCTCAGCTTGCCAGACAGGGCAGACAGAACACCCAGGCAACCAGAATGCACCAAATTGTCACGTGGTGTCCTGTCACCCAGCTAGTTAGGCGGTGAATCAATCAGAGTGTACCAAATTGTCACGCAGCTCACCAGCTAATCAGAGTGCATGCCTGCATCCAGAATATCATGACGAGAGATTTGGATTTCAGGCAGACAGACGACCAGGTGTATCCCTCAACAAGACAGACCACTCAGTCACGTGGTGTGATTACGTCAACACATTTTTGTTTCATGACGTCATCTCATTATCCTGATCAGGATCGCCAGGATTGAAAAATAATTTTCTCACACAGTCCCTGTGTGATTGCAAGTGAGACAACCACACTGTCTGCGCATGCGTATGTATTTCATTTTAATACAATTGGGTTTGAAATAGGAAGTCAAACTGAAACGTGGAAAATAAATAATTGTTTGAGAAAACAAAAAATGAATCACCCGTCGATAGCAACGTAAACTGAAAAATGAAAAATGATTCGAAACTTATTTAAGATTATGTTCAACATCAAAATAATCCTCCAAAATAATCTCCAGAAAATCAATGAGTTTGTTTCAAAATACCTATTTTATTTTAATGTTTTGTGATTTATATTACTTAGGAAACAACATAATCTAATAAATTGGCAAACCTTCTGTAGTACCAAGCTAAAAACCTAATAAAAAGCAATTTCGATCAAACCGGACTTTCCAATTAACCCCAATGAAGGTCTGCTAGATAGAAGCACCCCTCGTAGTTGGAAAACGTTTTCGAGAGGGTGGTGCGATAAAAATTAGTGGGCCATCGCACCTCTCATAAACACGGGAGCGAAGAAAAACTGATAAAAAAGAAAGCCTCCTACTCTATCGAGGGAGTTTTAGGCCAGTGAATAGTCGAATAAACTGAACAATTTTGATTGTTATAGTTTTTATAGCTTACCCCACTATTGCTATTTTGAAAATGGTAAGACCTAGAAGTTCGGTTAAATTGGTTAGTCAAAAAGTTTTCTATTTCAGAAAACTTGTCGGAATTGTCAAATTTCGATTTTTGGCTATATCGCCTACATTTTGAATGATATAGAAAGGCAGCGAAATTTTCAATACTGTTTTATATCTGATCTGAACCAATTTGCAATGCAACGTTTCAGTCATTATATTCCATCATCGATTTGTTTGAATACCACTGTAATAACTAATTCAGCTATCAAAAAACATCTGTAAATAGGAGCGTACTATGCAGCTTTCAAATCATATAATCATTAAACTATAAAAGAAGAAGGGCATAACATAAGCCCATCCAAATCGACCATAGTAGCATTCACCAAGAGGACTAAAACGGAGGGTCTCGAACCTCTAAAACTTTGAGGTGAAGAAATACAGTTGTCGGGGGAGGTTAAATATCTGGGAGTAATTCTTGATTCCAAACTGACCTGGAACCAACACTTGGACTGGATAGAATGGAAAGCAGATGTAGCACTGATGCTCGCCAGACACACCTATGGAAAAACATGGGGTCTAAAACCAGACATGGTATATTGGCTATACATGATGGTGGTTAAACCCATGATAACATACGCATCTTTGGCCTGGTAGCCAAAGATGAAGCAGGCGACCGCTAGGCAAGGTGCAAAGACTTGCATCTTTGGGAGTGATGGGAGCAGTGAGAACTACCCTAACAGATGTATTGGAGACACTCCTGAATCTACCTCCTTCACATTTTATGATAATGGAGGAGGCCAGGATGGGCCAATTCAGACTGGAAAACTCACCGAAGTACAAAAGATCGGACCAAACAGAACGAGTGGAGAAGCACATATTGAATATGTTCACGGACCACATGACACCGAAGTACGCCTTTAACACAAACTTCACGGCTAAAATCATAAGCCGTGAAGAGTGGACGACCATTAGTCATTCCGAAAACATGTTTGAAAAAAACACCTGGTATACAGATGGATCGATGACCAAACATGAAAGGGGAGCTACAGTTATCCGCTAAGACTATACACATCCGTCTTTCAGGCGGAAGTGTTTGTTATCTTACAATGTGCAGTAAGGCTTATTGAATTGAGACCTCAAAGAAATGGGCGGATCATAATTTTAACAGACAGCAAGAGCGCATTAGAGGTTTTGACAAATCCGATGGTGACATCAAAACTGGAATGGAAATGCCATAAAGAACTGAATGAATTTGCAAACAGGAACAAATTAACTTTGTACTGGGTGCCAGGGCATTCAGGAATCACAGGTAATGATAAAGCTGATGAATGCGCTAGACACGGATCATCAACTTCATATATAGGTCCTGAACCAGCTCTGGGGGTACCNATAATAAACGTCTTAATTTTTTAAATGCACATTGTATGAATGTATGTTTCTGTAAAAATTGCTCACATCAGCAATATTGATTGATATGACTGTGATATTCTTTGTTCAAGTGTATGATGATATATTGTTCAAGAACCACAAATACAAATTATGTAAGTTGTTAACATTATAAAACATTTCAACATTTTTAGAAATTTGTTCCAATCGAATAATTCACTGTATCCCTAATTTTCTCCTCAGCTACTATTTGCACCAAAACATGGTCCAGCTCCCCGCCTACAAGCAAAGTTAATCTCACCTCTGGCTGGGACGGGATCTCTGGCATTGTCGAAAGTAATCTCGGTGTCCTGTTGAAATAAATCTCCAATTTTGGCTACGCACTTCAGCGTCAGTCGTCCATTGTGGAAATGGGACTCGAATAGGGGCAATCCGAGGGACAATTCGCTCTCGAATAATTCCCCTACGGGCGTCTTGATTGTGTTACACTTCGCGCATACCTGAAACAAAGAAAAATAAATATGAGTTGGATTGATGGGGATGTTGGATGTAACTTGGATTAATGGATATATTTTTTGATCTCTGAGTGCTGGGAGGGAGAATTGCAGGGGCAAAAATGTGTCCCACGTTGGAAGTGTATTTGAAATTTATTGAATTATGAATGAACAGAGAAAACTTTATATGTTACATGCTGTGATTGGTGAACATACATAATATATGAAGCCGTTCCGCCCTAAAAATGGTGTTTGGCAAGGAAATAATAATAATTTCTTTTATTTATAAAGATAAAAAAAAGAAGGTACACAAAGGAAAATACAATGGGTTTGGTAAAATCTCGGAGCGGAATTCAGGAGACAAGCGTGTGCAACACGCCGAATCCTGCTCTTCCATTGAACTCCTTTACAATATACAAAACTTAAAGTATTCATCAAACATATAATGTACAAAAAATTATAATGCCTAAGTAGTAATAGAAAGAAAAGAATAAAAGGAATACAAGAGGGGTGTTGTAGCATTGGTCTTCATTATTAGAATAAATAATTTTTGTTTGATTATTTGGCAACATTGCTTTTCAGAAGTTTTAACTGCGAATAATAAACAATATTATCGGACCAATAATCAAAAAAAAATTCTTCATTCTAATAATCAAGACTGATGCTACAACAAGGGGTAATTCATAATGCTCACAGAATGACTTGAAGTTCTGCATTTTATGCGAGACTTTAGTTGCACCATAGCTTACTTGAGGTAAATACCTTTTGCATAATAACTTGGGAACAAACATAAGGAGCTGCGTTTTATTAGGATTGAGTTGCCGTTCGTGTTTCACAGAAGAATCATGAATGTCTTGAAGTTCAGTGTTGATGTCAGCAACAGCTTCATTGAGTAATTCTGGTTTGAACGATACATAAAAAGTTGGGTATCATCTGCCTAAGCATGATACTTACAGAGATTGATCTTAGTCAGTATATTTGAGGTATATAAACTAAAAAGTAAAGACTCAAGTATAGATCCTTGCGAAACACCGCGTATTAATCTCAGTGAGTCGAATGCTTTTCTGTAGTCCAGTAAGATTAATAACGAGATGACACCTGTATCTGTTGCTGCCAACATGTCATTCGTTATTTTAAGCAAAGCTTAAAGCAACGAATGACACTTTTGAGAGATTACAAAAATCTTTTTTGTCACCCTTTATGGACAGAGGATTCAAACCACGAATATTAATTATGAACAAAGAATTTGTCATCACCAGACAGCGTAGTTTTTGTTCTGTCCATTACTTTCGTAATTTTTCCATTGACAAGAAAAGTGTGTTTACTATCTCTTGACTAATGAACTGAAAAGAGACATACAGTTGGACTGAAAGGTCCGTAGGCTAACATAGAATAAACATTGTCCGATGAAATTTGAGGGCAATACAACGGTCATATCAGTCAAACAATTTTTCTATATAATTTTCATAGTAATATTTGTCTTTAGCCTCAAAATAGATATCAGTTTTGCTTCATTGCTGATTTTTTTCCCAGCGAGCATTCTGTTGAGGTCTGAGAGCAGAAATAAATCTCCCAGACACNCAGGTTTATTGTTGCTTAATATAATTGTTATTTTCAACTATTCTTTTTTAATTATTCTTTTTTACTTGTTTCAGGGATTTCAAATCATTTTATATAATAGACAATGGAAGTCCGAACTAGTGAAATTGGCCTGAATGAATTGTTCTTTCAGTTAATTTGATTTACAGCCAGTCTTCAAGTATGCCCACTGAATATATGTGACCTAATTGATAAGCAATACAGAATTTGCATTGTGCTTGCCAATTCTACCTACCTCTAGAGATCCTACTTACATATCCAAAAAGTTTGAGTGATTTTGAGGTTATTTTATAAATATAAGATGAGAATGACAACTTTTTATCATTTATCTTCAACTCCATCAACTTGGTTCAAGGACAAAGAGTTTATGCAGTATCCAAATGTGATTGGTGCCTGAGAACGATTGAAACACATGACTATACACTTGTCAAGATTCAGTTCCAAGCAGTTATTTCTACACGAATTGGTCCAATGGTTCACAGCATCTTGAAGTTTCAGACAATCAACATATACGATTCAATCACAGGATATAGCTAGAGGTCATCAGCAAATAACAATCCGTCTGAGTCAGCAATGTGTGCGATAAGATCATCAATGAAGCTATTGGCCCACTTGCGCATCCCATAATACTGATATTACTTTGGTTGTCCAGTCATTTTAGGTCGATTTAGGCCTGTATTTCGGAAAGTTGACATAGCCAGCTGTAAATTTGTATAAACTTTGTATTTTGGCATCATGAGAGTATTCTCAAAATTCACATATGATTCGACGGCCGCAACTTCAAAAATTGGGGGTCAAAAGTCAAAAAACCGACTTTTTGCAAGTTTTTTTGCCAATATCTCGTTTCCAATGGGTTTTATGCCAATTATATACATCATTGATATTGTAGAGAATAAAATTCTGTATAACTTTCGTTTCAAACATTTTTTAAGTCGTTGAATCCTTTTTGAGATAGAGGACAGCGCGAGCGCAGATTAAATATTATTTGAAATCAACTGGTTGTCACGATCGAAATCAGCTCATTTGAGGTTCATAACTTATTACTTAATGAATGATTATAAATAATTCTCATTTTTCAATAACAAATACATTATATTTGAACGGAAAAAGATCTGAATGCAGCATAAATCGTACTGGATATTTTTTTGATCACAATCAGCACAAAAAACTCCATATTTCATGAAAAAATAATCAACCACAGGCCCATTGGACGGATAAAAAAAAGAACTCATAAGAATCAGAAAGAAACGGATTATATCCGGCTAGTTATATCATCAAACGATAAAATGATTTGATGAAAAAATATGATAATTTTGAATGTTCACTGAGAAATTCAAAACAGAAGGCTACAGTAGTTCATTCTCAAAATGAAACGCATAAAAGTAGAAACAAATCGAAAGCACTGTGGAACAGTATTGATGATATATCGAGTGGTCCANAGCCCGAGTCCATAGAAGATCTTCGCCAACGAATTACAGCAGAGTGCAGAAGTATAACACCTGATATGCTACAGAATGTTAGGAATAGATTTGAACAAAATCTGTATTATTGTATGGAAGCAAATGGGTCACATTTTAAGCACTTGCTGAAGTAGGATTCTACTAAGTCAATTACACATTTCAATGTACTGGGTTGTAGTTGTTTTTCTTCATAATACCTACATGTATGAGTGAAACACAACAAATTAGGTATCATTGGAAAGATAATTTTGTGCCCTTTCAAATGATATATCACTCGACCCCTCTTTCCATTTAACATTTTAGGGTTGTTACTCACCCTCGCTAGGGGATTGTAGAAAAATACATCTAAAATGTGTCCCCCTCAAAAGCAAAATTGACCTGTCCGAGTATTTTTGCGTCAAGTTACAAAAAAAGGAGAAAAGCAAGGTGCATGCTTTTCGTTGGACCACTTTGTATGTTGCAAAGCCTAAAGTGAAAACCAATGATGATTGATCGATATACATATTATAGAAACTTTTTTTCAGTTTGAAAATATTCAACGATTATTTCCTTTTCCTTCAATGATGGAGTTGCTGTTTCACATCAGAAATGACAAAGATAAATAATTGGAAAAGTTTCCTCTTCGGTGGAAGGTTGAAAACAAGTTATATCGAAATGAAATTTGATGTGGTTGAGCACAAAAAAATATTGTTCCGGAGCAAATGATTAAAACGAATCTACGAGCGAAAACCCCCCTGAAGTCCATAACAAAAGTCAAAAACTGCCAGTCAGAATTCAAACAATGTCTAGCAACGGCAAAAAGTATAATTAAAAGCATTTCTGGCATGAATGAAAGGATTAACCCCATTTATATTTTATCTCGTTATTATCAACCTTCATAACATAATTAAACTTTATATGCCAAGCTCAACTCGAGATCGGCAAGAGAAATTGCTTTATGTTGACGAGATTTGGGTTATTTGACATGCGGACCAAGCCGCAAATGAAATTTCCAGAATTTTGAATATTTTGTGGAATGAATATTTATGATCAGAACAGATAAATCAGTAGCACAACGGTATTTATTAATTCATTGATTTTTCATTGAGGTTTTTACATTTTTTTGGCATGTTTCAGAGTATCTTCATCAACTAAATGAATTCTCAGGAGAAATGGTTTAGTTGTTTCGTACTTTTTGTCTGTTTCTCCTGTCTCAAAATCAAATATTTGAAGGCTCCTCGTAAATTACGTGTGCTTTACTGTATTTCGTTGGTGCATGTTTAGTTTTAGGGGATGCACAAACTTCTATCAAGCATAACTTTTTGTTGAAAAACCTTCAATATGACACCGACACTGGGATGACACTGTATAAAGTAGGTAAAATTCAGTTAGGATGAAGAAACTGTTGTGTACTGAAACGGGTGCTCTAGTTTTGTAATCTATCCTAAAAATGATACGTTTCCACTAATATTCATCGAGTTTATTGGCACTTCCATCACATAACTCATTCTATGCGTATACTTCAATTTCCTAACTCAATTCCTTTCGAAATGCATACCTACTTAGGAAACAACATAATCTAATAAATTGGCAAACCTTCTGTAGTACCAAGCTAAAAACCTAATAAAAAGCAATTTCGATCAAACCGGACTTTCCAATTAACCCCAATGAAGGTCTGCTAGATGCTTATTGT